GCACACCGCATATCAGTTTCCTATGGCTTGTAATCCCTCCTGGGTAGCGTACTTGCACGCTTCAATTTTTGAGGAAAGATGTAGTCCACCGAAGAACTGAATCATGCCAGCCTTGAGTTTGCATCCGCCATATGAGCCGATTATGTAGGACAGCATCAAAGGCCCCCTGAACATCTAACGTGACAAAGGTTGCCGCCTAGCCCTGTGTCCAGGCATCTTCTATATCATGCACTACACATAAGACGAGATCTGTTGCCGACCGTTTAGGTAGAGCCCCAAACTGTTGTGGGCCTACAACATTTGAGACCACCGCACAATGTGACATTCTCTTAGCCATTATTCTTTCCAACCCCTTTCCTGAACACGACAAGAGTGCGATAGGCCTCCACCCTTTCACGGATGAAGGGTCCCTGCCTGATTTTGGAAGAAAAACAACTTCTGCTAGCTTGAAGCAGGAAGGATGATGTCCGAAATGCATGCACGCGTGGAAAAGATGCGTGACATGGGCTCCGACATGGCTCAAGGAGGCTGCAAGGAGTTCTGTGGAGATGCCATCAGCTCCAGGGCAAGAACCGCCTTTGCCTATTGTACAGCTTTGGACTTCAGTCTCGGATATTTCTTCCTTTTATGTGATCCGTGAATCTCCAGGCTGATTAAAAGGGGTCAGATCGTCGATAACTTGGTGCCGTGAAAGAAGGCAATCGCGCAGGATACCTGCGTGCTCAGCCTGATCAGAGTTGAATCCACCTTCATGTAAAAGAGGTGGCGGCATTTTTGCGTGCTTCAGAGAACCCCAATGTAGAAGCTTAAAGGTTTCGGGTAAAGATTTAACTCCTTCCACCCGACTTTTCCAATAGCTTCTTTTCGCAGCTGCTACAACTTTTCTAAAGTGCTTGGCATTATTAGATCGTTCAAATTCTGTGAGTGAGCCTTTATATTTGACATAAGCGGCCTTGCATTCTGGAGTCCACCAGGGTCCTGACCTGCCACTCTCTGGGTTCGGTCATCTACCAACAGCCTTTATTGCTTCCTTAAATGCCCTGCAAAGTTCCTCGGCAAATCCCTCTGTTGCTTCTACCGAAGTAAGCGGTGCTAGTGGTGGTGCCCAGCGAGAGACTAGCAGAGCGAAATGGGGTAGCTGGTCTTTGGGGACTCGAAGTGGGCCTCTTGCCGTGGCTTCAGGTTGCTTTTGGTTGAGAACTGAGCCCAAGATTGGAAAGTGGTCACTGGTGATACATTATTGTCGATCAACCCAAGCACAGGTTCCATTAATGTTTGACCATACTAGGTCAAGAGTATTCCGGCTCGATGCGTTGGCTCGCCAATAATAAGGCAGGAGAGATTGTGAGTCTCTGCCCACTTCTCAATCTCATCGCCTTGTCCATATGTGTGTACTGCGCTTGGTTGACAGACCCGATGAACCGAGTTGAAGTCGCCTGCAACAACGATGCGAGCAGATGGAACCCATTCGAGAAGGGGTTGAACCGCTTTTGGATCGTGGGGGCTTTGTATACATTGAGAAATATTGTATTGTTTACCTCAACCTAGCAATAGTCGCTAATTGGAGTGGCCGAGGGAAATTTTTGAATAGCTTGAATTTGCTTGGCATTTTTCCTAGTGTATGTGATTGCACGTGGACGAATGCTTATGCCATTGTGCGGTATGTGGACATTGAAATAGGGATGTGCCTTAGTATGCCCACGCCACCATGGCTCCTATATAAGCAAGACATCAAGTTGAAGCTCGCAGGCACGTTCTAGCACGATACCGTGTGTTGTTCCCCCTCTTCCAACATTAATTGACATAAATCGAAGAATCTGTTGGGGGATGGCGACTCTGTTGGTCGCCCTTCACAATCGCCTTGCATTACCTGTCGGATTCTCCGGAGGTAATGCTGCTGCCACTCCAGCGTCTGAAGTTGGGACTAGAACAGTTGTAGAGTTATGGATCGATGCCTCAGTGGAGGCAGCCTTAGCCTCTACATCTTTTGCTCTAACAAGAGCTTGGAATTATCGCTCTCCTGCATCTCGGTAGGTTTTCAATTGCTGTTTTGATGGTACACCAGTTCTTGTTAGACGAGTCAGACATCTAGTGCTATCAGAACTATGGGAACCCCCACAGTTCCTGCATTTAGTCAGAGCTTGACATGAACCTTCGGTATGCATAGTTGAACCACAGTTCCCACAAGATGGTGCCCTGGAGCAGTTCCTTGAAGGATGGTGGCCGCTGCATCGCTTACAGAACTCAAGGGGCTCTTGCTTCTTGAGTGGCCTGGCAAGACCGGATTCATCAAAGACTCTGAAGCCGGGTCGAGGCGATTTGGAGATGAAGGCCATCCAGGTTCTGTGGGCTATGGAGGGGTTATTCTGTCCGAAGAGTTTCACTGCAGAGGGCCTCATATTAGTTATCCTCTCGATCTCAACAGTGAGCATGGACTCATTTACTTCAACTCGTCCCTCAAGCGTTCGAATAGCTGCCGAGACAGTTGGAATAATGATAGGTATCCAGTTCGTCGCTGGTTCAAGCTTTGCCCCAGATAAGAAGAGCCCATTCTCGGCTTTTATGAGTTCTTCTCGCGCCTCGCTGCTACAGGGAGTTATAGCAAGCCCTGAGTTCACCGCTTTGATCCTACCAATAAGTGATGGCGATACCGAGAGTCGCTTCACTACTACCTCCCGGATACCAGCAGGTGATAGTCTTCGCCACACATGATCGCGTGGTAGGCGAATAAATCACCTTTTATCAGAGCTGATAGGGGGTTGAGCCTTTCAAGTAGTTGCTTGATTGCGAGTAGTAGGCCAAGGTCTAGTGAGCTCTTTTTGAGGAGCTACTTGCTTGAGTGTCAACGTGATTGGCAGTGACTCACTTGAAGCGGTGGCACTAGCTTTCTTGTGGCCGTTCCGTGTAACTGTCGCCCAAGAAAGCGTGGTTTTTACCGGCTTGCTAGGCAGTTGGGGAAGTTCCTTAAAGGGTCTAATTGTTGTAGTTGGCGCTGTAGTGCCAACCTTATTTGTTTGACCCTTATCCTTGCCTTTTGCCCTGTTAGAAACTGGTCGAGACTTCGAGGGGATGGGAGGAGGAGGGGGAGCAGCCTCTGAGGCTACGTATTTTGAAATGGCCTTGCAGAGGTAATCGCGGATTGCCGTAGCCTCATCCTTTTCGATATCCTTCATAAAGCCTGAGAGAGCACTCTCAATACTGCTAATTGCGCAGGTACACATCATTGTGCGAGCGTGCCATGCAAGTTCACGACGCTGTCGTTCTTCAATAATTTGGGCGAGTTCTCTTGGGAGAAATTCGTTCGCGTCGTTCACATTTTCTGTCGTTGTTTCGTAGCAGGATTTGGGATTTGCGCGTTTAGAAGGAGGGACGGGCTGATGGGTTGGCCTGTCAGTCACTACCACGTCATGTTGAGGTAGGATAGGTTGAGAAGGAGGTGTCGCGGAGAGGAAGATGGGTGGAGTGTTGGATGGGATGCTAAAAGAACAGGAGCCCCTTTCCGTCACCGGGGCATGATTCTCGATGGTGAAGTCCATTACTGCCATCGCAAAATTTGTTTGTGGCTTGATGTGTTATTTTTATGTTATGTTGGCGCAATAATTTAATTTCAGGAGCTGTATGGTTTAATAGTGCCTCAGCTATATAGACTGTCGCATCGAATTTGAGGCGAGAGTTCTTGTATTACTTCGGTCACAAGCTGCAGCTAGAAGTCCACTATCGGGAAGGAACCGGTGTCTGCAGTTAAGACTATATCAAAGTCTTAGCCAACTCACGCACACAGCATAAACTTCACCAGAAAGCGTAAAAGCTTACGAAGCTTGGCCCAAAACTGAAATCATCCACTAGGAGAATCTCCTCGCCTGTTGCCTTTCGTATCACGTCCTCCCAATGCTGTTTTCTAACCTTCACAGATGCCCTAATTTCGAGCAAGTTTCATGCCATAGTTGGTTGGAGCCTTTTAAGACTCCACTATCGATCGCTCATCCCCAATTTTCTCTTCTCTCTTTCGCGTCTTAGTCCCCGTCGAAATTTGATTTTCAATTTCAGAACTGCTTTAGACAAAGGATCATACTGTAAATTGGCCTAGTCCTGCGTCTTTGTGCCGGCTCGGAGAATGTTGTAGATTTATGGACAAGAAGCCCCCATGGCTGTGATGGCATTTGGTTTTAGTTTTGCGAACTATCGAGTGAAGAATGGAGGCACGCAGGGGTGGTGCTGATAGATGGTAGATATTCGGCCCTTATTATTTTGCGCCTGAACTAAGAGTTCTCCATCCTGCATAATCTCCGCCACTAGAGCGATGAGAAAGCCCTACAATACTGCAGCTGGAGAGCACCAACTCTCGAGTCACATGATCAAAGCTGGATTGTTTGAGACCGACAGCTCCCTGTGAGTGGTCATCGTAAACTGATAGATGTTTTCTGACCGAAAGCCTCTCCTGAGATAGGTGACGCTGGCAGTTGTTATAGCCATTCGAGAGACCATAGTTACTCGTCCGTTCAAATGACCATATCGCATCACAGCTGACAAAGTTCCTCAGTCAACGCTAGATAGGATCTCATATACCATACTCAAATGGACCGGCCATTTGGGGGTGCACATCACACAGCTCCCTGACTCGGGTTCGAATCTAAAGACTCAGAAGTACGAAAAGTATATTATATAATATATCACTCTTATTGGCATAGTTCGGTTAGCTCTCCCTAAAATAGGCCAAAGTGCATTGGCAGAGCTTCCTTTCAGTTGTGTTAGCAAGGGTGAGAATTTTGGACCACATCTTTAGTCTTTCAATCGACTTGAAATACCTCGCTCTCGCTATAAGACCCAGAATTCCCTATGCCCCATATGCTACCGGGCAATACTACGCACTTCCGTTGAGACAATAGGACAACTTGATTAGAAAGAAACATTGGTAGGCTCCGAGGCCAAAACACTGACTGACATATTCACAAAAAGTCAAAGTCAAAGTCAAGGCTCTGCTAAACAGAGGAAGCTCAAAGATGGGTTGTGTCTTTGCTTTTCTCTCGACTGTCATGCGGCATCTAGTGCTCATTAATTTAAGCTCTTCTAATTCCCTCTATCGTGCCTATCAGTATCCTAACCCTCGATTTCCAGAGCTCAACGCCGAAAGAGAGACTTACTACTTCAGGTCCATGAAAATGGGACCAAGAGCATTGACTGCCATCTACTGCTCACCCACAATAACGGGACATGAGCTTCTGGAAAAAATTAGCAGTGGTTATGTTGATGTCACGGCACCAGCCGAGCCTACATTACAAAACATTCCCGAAGCCGAGGAAGCTTGTCTAGCTAAGATTCGACCATTGCTTTCGGAGATTTCGATTTCGCAGCTCTTGAAGATTCCCGGTAATTTTGAGCCTTGTACAAGCAAAATTATAGCCAGCTTAGCTTTTAATGGAATCTTTCAAATCTATGGGGGCTATAAGTGTTTTGCGCCGCCAGCGAAGTTCACGAGACCTATCGTCAAAGCGGACGTTGCTTTGAAAATGGAGAATCTATTCTCTGATGATGATGTCATCTTCAGCACCATCCAAAACCGCCATATCAGAGCACTTTTGTGGTACCAGGGACACCTGCAAATATTTGAACGAAGACTTGACACTGACAAGATTTGGGTCCCCACTACGACTATCGGCTCGGAGAGCACCAATGGCAGGCTGATATCCGATTTTGTGAGACGAAAATTTTTCCTTACCATGATGAAAACAAAAAACGCAGGGGATTATAAGATTATTATATCAGGCCTCACTCTTCCAGAAGAAAATCAAGATCTATTAGTAGCTCTGGAATTGTTGGTAAAGTATTATAACACGGACGATCATTTTCTTGATGACGAAATACGCTATTTAATCTTAAAGGGCCAATTATGTAAAGAAATTCCGCAGCCCTAACCAAGCTTTCAAGCCACAAGTCTTTTAAAAATGTAAAAGTAAAGGCTCGAAGCTAACCGTCCATTTGCAATATATTTTTATTTACGCAAAATGGTAGGTATCTCTAGATCTCAATCATACGATTTCAATATCATACTGACTTTTCATATCTATACAGAATCATTCAAGAATTACCCTCAAAAACTTTGGGAACTTTTAATCTCAATATTCGCAATTGAGGCACCGAACTGAATTCTTCGCTAAAAAAGGGTCGAAATTTTAGCGCAGGCTAGCTAGATTACCAACCTTGAAAATAAATTTCCAGACTGAAGACTCAATGTTGATGGGAGCTACTCAGCCAATTTATCTTTGCAGGTAATGCTATGTAGCAGTGATACACTGGAAGACTTGTATGGAAATGGCAACTTTCCCAAATGATTTCATGCGATCGGCTTAATCAGTTTGAAGATGAGATATTGCAAGTCGATCCTTCGTTTTCCGAGAGAGCTTCGCCTTTCAACACCTTACACTCGGCTTAAATGCCGGGTCTTGTCTACTCGCGACTTTCATGCTTGCTCCCTTCTGTACAGCCTTGATCATCACACGCCCAAGTTTGTGATTTCTCGACGCCCTTATTTCCTGTCTTTTAATATAGATCTCAGTATACCTCTATCTAGCTAACATATCTTTGGTTTCTGAAGAAAGAAAAGAATGCCATGAGATGAAGTAGCCAGTAAACTTGATGGAAACTATAGGTCTGAAATCCCCTGCGCGCAGTACGAAGAGTATTTTTTCAAGGGAGCTAAGAGTTTTTGGTTGCTCCATCTTGGACATCATGTTTTGAGTGTACAAGGCTCTGGGAATAATAGAGAACTTCGATAACATGGTTGATAACGAATTAAGCAGTTTACTAAGTTTAATGTTAGTCTCTCAACACAAAAGTTGATAGAATTTCTTTTATTTGGACATGTAAATGAATAGCACTCTACATAATCATGGAGGGCTTCAAATTACTGCCGTAAGGCTGAATTAGATTGGATACGATGCCATCAAGTCCCGCACCCCTTGGAGTTACTTGGACAATCAGACTTCATTGACGTCTTTTCAACTATCACTCATTGTGTATACACTTTTCATAGTTATAAACTCAGTATAGGTATTAAAGTAAAATCAATCAAATATGTACGTAAATATAGAGCTATGATACATAATCAATGTCTCATGCACATATGAGATGGCTCTTGTAAGGGTTTAATGAATTCAGATGTACTTTAAGACAATAACTCAATAGGAATCCATAACTTGTTCCTTGGGAAGACCATCTACCACGTACTCTCCCATACGTTATATGCTCTGTGTAGAATAGTCTTAACTCCCTCCATTGGCCACTTGAGAATCATCCTTTCTCCTGGCACAACTCTTCTCCTGTATCATACTCCCCATCTGGTGCGTACCCCCTTAGCGCCCCTTTCGTATATCCAGGAGCGTTGCCCTACCACTACCTTACCTCGAAGACGGAGTGGTACTAGTGACCAGTCCCAATCCGGGCAAAGCCCGTCACAGCTCTTTCGACTTCGGAAATTTTTACTCTACATTTTTTTAATAAATACCTCCTAGATATCTTGATTAACGCAGAATCGTAAGCCCCCCTCCATTAGTATCTAAAAGGAGATTCTGTTGTGTTATCCATGTAACTTACCATGGTAGATGCTCTGGGTCACGTCAGAGTAGATGCACGTGATTGTGGAACTAAACCGCGTTTTTGGTTTGTTTTGTTCATTTACGTGCTTGGTATAGTGATTCCCGTTGCACTCCTACCGGAGCTTAAGCACGGGTGTGGCCGGGCTGGATCAGGTTAACTACCGTAAAGTACAAGTGCCTCGTCCCACCTAAATGACCGGACCACCTCAAACTTCAGCCATGTGTTGAATCATGTCAAGCCCAACCGTCCAGGTAACCTCCTTTTGGCGCGCCGAAGCGCAAATTCCTACTCAGCCTCGGCCACCACGCGCCCGAGCCCTTGACACCTTCGCTGTCTGTAATTTTCCCTTCGGTTCATTCGCAGCTTTGACTCATCTCAGCATCTCCTCATCTCATCCAGGGGTCGTTTTCTTCACTGGAGGCCTCATCTAGTCGCCCACAAAGGCCTCCTCAGTTTGTATTCCCTTTTGATTCCTTCATACAGCATCCCTTTGTCCTTTTGACAGCCTTGTCATCCCAGAAAGTTTGTAGAATGTCCAACCCTCCGGCCTTGCCCCGACGCTGCCGTATCCCTAACCGTGGGGGTCGAAAATGCGACTGAGAGCTCAAGACCGAGGCACGGGTGCACTAGCCTTTGTCGAGCGCTCTAGTTGGTGTGCCGGCGAAATGTCGTACGTATTTCGTCGGTGGCGATTCGTCGCAGGTCGAGTTATTGGTGCCCTTGCCCGAGGTGAGGACGCATTCAAGGCCGGTATTTCGACCGTACCTTCACAGTGACTGGCAGTTGCGGAGGGTCGGACATCCTCTTGCTTCTTAGTTGGCGATTTGGCTTTTGGAGGTATGGGATTGCTTCGATGGGTGGTGAGATGATTGTGGAGAGGGCCGCGAGATGATTTTGGCTAGGAATGATTTTCCAGAGAAATAAAAAATAAGATGTTGAAGGTGTCGGTTGTTGTGATACGAACATCAGTCAGGTTATGGCCTGTCTACAGTTCGTGTCTGGGGTGTAGATGATTGATTTCGTTGAGTTGTGCAGTCGTGAAATCTCTGCAAGTCGGATTTTCGACCAAAAATGAGCCAACGCCACTCCTCCCGATCGCCAACTCGACGAAAACTCTCAAATTCACCCTTTTTCGTGACTGAATCTCGGCTCTGGAAGAATATTTCGCTCCCAGGTTCGTAGAGGACACCACTGACAGGTGTTGAGCCTTCGTCCTCCGAACCAAACCGTGTGTTGTTTAGTGTATAATGCATATTTGGGTATTATGGACCCAATTAGGACTCGATAGAATAGAGATAATGGAATCAGATAGAGACTGATGGTCTGAGGGAGAAAGAGATTGAAATTTCTCGTAGGAGAGAAATGATATTACAAGGGAATGTTCTAGCACCAGGCTGTGTACAACACAGTAAGTATGGAGCAAGTTATAATGAGGTCTCAAACTCCGTTCACTCTTTGAAGCGAAGTTTCCTTTGTACGAGAATATAGATACAAGACTTACATATCACGAGAAAACACGCTATAGCGATTAACGAGACCTACTGTGAGCATAAATCCCCAAGAGTATCCATCGTCCTGCTCCTATATAGCCTAGTTATTATAACAGATTCAAACCCTTTGGTTATCCAGGCAAATTGGCATCGCCATAAATATGGTGAATTATCACTGAATTTGAACCAGCAATATCTTATCTCAAGTGGGATTGGTGTCCAAACTACCTAGACTTTCAGAAGTTGATGTAATTTGGGCTATCGAGTGGTCTTGTAACATGAGGTCACCTAGGGGTTCAATACTATGAGGAAATGGCTAAACTATGCTTTGCAGCTATGGATGTTGATATGAATTAAAATGATGATTGTGATGGAGATAGATTTCTATATATTTTATTATACATGATATGTTGGAAATATCGCGCAATGAAATGGGCGTTATATTCATGAAACGGAAGTAGAAGTTGACTAAAAGAGTGTCATGTTCGGATTGCAGCTATAAGTGTGGAAAGTGTGCGCTACAAGTACGGGTTTGGGGGGCAAGAATGAACACCTGTACGCGGTGTCCTCTACGAACCTGGGAGTGAAATATTCTCCCAGAGCCAAGTTCAGTCAAATTTCGCAATATCAAAGAAGTTGGCCCACGAGGCAATGATTCAAATTACTCCACCTCGTCAAATTTTCACTCCCAACGAGATCGATTCCTACTTAAGCTTCATCAAGTCTACAAGTACGACCTAGTACATCCTTATTCCAATGATCACACTTCTCGTCGACTTTCTCTGCCCTCAGCCGGTCACCAAATACACGCCCACGCCGATATTTATACCCGACGGAGGAAGCAAAGCGTGACGCACAAATCTGAGAGATAGCTCTTTGGCATTGGCGTGAGAGGAGTAGGGACAAGTTAACAAGATGATGCAACGGATGGATACAGTCTCGACGGGCATGGAATTTTGAATTTTGGCAAGAGTTTTACGAATTGAGCTTTGTGAGTGCCAAGTCTTCGGTTGCGAGAGTGCAGACGACACTATAAACATCGCCATGGTCGGATGGTGCGGTGGTACATCGTCTTGGCCGGTCTGCCAAGTAGAGTCCGGATAGCTTGGACACATATCCCACTCGAGACAGTAGATCGCTGGCTCAAATCCAGCAAAACACAACCACATTTCTCGCGGCGCTGGTATGCATGGATGACGAAGGCATGCTTGGATAACCAAAGGTTTTTAAATTCCCTTTGGTGGGTACTTACGGAGGAGGGTCGACTGTTCGTGTAAGCGAACATAACTCATAGTGGTATTTGCGAATGAAATCCAGAGTATGAGTGTCTCTAACGTCAAAAGAGTCATCCGACATGTATACATAGTACCGGTCATGTGTCATAGCTAGATAACTGAATACACATTAAATGACTTAAAAAAAAAGTACAGGTGTAAGCGACACATAGCTAAGCCACGGCATAAACGAGTGTGGCGCCATCTAGGCATAGAAAACCCCCAATAACTTTCTTGTGGCCACGCCATACAGCCGCTCATATCTCTAATAGGTAGTCTGAATTGCTACCATACTATCCATTCCAACCTCTTAAATATACAAAATATCGCGTCGGGAACCTAGACTAAATGTAGGGCCCATACGTCCACAACAGTCTGTGTCTCCATTTCCAACATGATATACTCAGGTTCATATACCTCTAGCCAAGCAACCAGATTATGTTCCTCTAGATCTAGATTCATCAGAATAATTACTTACTCAGTAAAATTCTCCTAGTCTCAGTTGTGTGTTTAGGATCTTGACTAGGCTTCTAGTAACTAGTCAATGATGTTTCT